TTCACAGTAACCAAGGTATCATTCTCTAAAATATCCAGCAAATCAAGGACCAAGAATGGGCTGAGAAAGCACTGGAATGGAATTGCTACTTTACTCTTCTATAACATTTTCCATCTTCATTCTTAGAGGACTTTCACAAAGATGAATCATTATTTCCGTCTGCCTGTAGGAGAAACTGAGTCACCTGAAGAGGAAGTGATTTGCCACACAGCAAGGCAGTGGAGTGCCAGGGGCGAAGTACAAGTCTCTTTGCTTTCCCTCTGGTGTCCTCATGGCATGAGCTCAGTTCACAGCTCTGTTCACAGTTCACAGATGTCTTTATGACCCCAGGTGAGTCATTTGGGTCCTTTATGCTGCTAACACTGGAGTGTTTGCTCAATTTAAGCATTTTTTAAAGATTACTCATAGTACTTAAGACAATAAGAAACAGAAATGTGTAAGAAGTTTGTATCTTACCCTGCGTCTTAGTTCTCTATCTGCAAAACTGTAGTATTAATTTGTCTCTTATCCCATTGCCATATGGCTTTTAGAGGGCAGAAAGCTATTTTGTTCTCATTTCTCACGCTGGTCACACTTGAACTCTCTGAATAGCCCTCCACTTGTACAGTGGCCACTTACAGCAGGTGTGTGTAGTTTTTTTCTCCCTGGTTCTTTGCAGGGGAGATTTGTTTGTTCAGGGCACTGTTACATTAGACAACATTTTATTTTTTACACTGTAATCACTTCTTTCTTCCCTAGAAATTTTTCACAAATACTAAGTTTAGCATGAGAAGCCTTTGTCCACAGCTGATGAGCAGTGGTAAGTTAGAGGAGCTTCTATCGTGTTACTTGGAGTGTGTGTTACCTGGTTTGCTACTGGTCCCCAATTCTTCAGTTATGCAAGTGTAGTTTTTCTTTTCCATAGGCACAAATGGAGCACAACTGTTTGCAGCATGGATGAAATCATGAGAGGAGTGTTCACCCTTTCACCTACTGTTCCCGATGCAGTGGGGATGGAGAGCAGAATCACAGCTTTTTTCTCCTGCCTTGTCTCACTCCAGCTGCACAGGGAGCTCCTCTAACTATTTCCTCTAGATTTTCTTGAATGAACAGCTCTGCACTGTCCTACAGAGCCTTTTGTGTTACACAGCAACCACTTCAGTATTTGCCTTCTAATTTACTGTGTGTTTTGCTATTGCTATTCTGCTGTTCCCTCTGCTTTCTTCTATTCTTTTTACCTTCTTTCTTTTTTTATACAATTTCCCATATTTCTACTGTTTTATCCTTGTTTCTATTCTATGTGGATTTTTTTGTGTGTGTCTGTGTTGGATTTTTTTTCTTTTTTTGTGTATTTTTATGCTTTTTCTCCACAAGAAAAGAGATCTGTTCCACTCCAGCCCAATTTCAGTCTCATGAAGGTGAGCTGGAGATAAGGCAGAAAGCATTGGCATTGCTCCTGTCTGGCTCTACAGAGGGAGAGGACTAGGGCTTTGCTGCTGTGTGGATTTCCCAGAAGTATTATTGGAGCTGGTCCAACAATTTACAGTAAAAGGACTTCAGTTCTAATGCAAGTTCAATGAGGTTTTTCAGGTCACATACAATAAGCTAAATGGCTCATCAGATGTGTCTCTGGTCTGAAAAATTACATAAAATCTTTGGCTAGGATGCTGCACGGCACGCAGTGAACTTGAAAGATCTGGCCTTCATATGAAACCTAACACAAGGGGAAAAGAGAGATCTGTGGCCTATAGAGACCATGCAGAGATAAGAACAAAAGGGCCCGTAACTGGAGGATATTCCTGTGGATATTCCAGGCCTTCAGATGCTAGACATCCTTAGCTCCATTCTCCTACTAAGGCACTCACTGGCCCTCTCTGCCATGCAGTGTCTAAACACTAGGCCAACAGAGCAGGTATATAAAGTTCAGCAGTGCAAAGGAAGAATGTGGCCTACTCTTGGGCCAGCTGCCATGTCATACCTCAGAAGCTGAAGGTTAAGCAGTGACAAAGGAAAACCTTCAATGTGCCACTCTCATAGATGGGAATTGAATGCAGTGATGTTGTCTATGCATGGCAGACAACCGGAATGTTCAGTGCATGCTGGAGACTCCCATGATGTGACACAGAAGCTTTGGTTCAGGTAGAACTAAGACGCCTATAAAGTGAAGATATGGATAACTTACCAGTAGGCCAAAATCAGCTGTTGTGGGCAGTCCCTAAATGTTCTTTATTTTTATGAGAGAAAACAAAGTCATATAAATGCAGCACGTATTTGGAGTAGGAATGGTAGTCCTCAGAGCCAGTGGGACTTCACTCCCCTTGCCTGTGAGTCATTCTTATGGAAGTTCCTTCTCCTTCTACAGGAGAAATTTTCTATGTGGAATTATTGACAGAGAAAATTGCACAGCTTAAGGAAATCTTCTAAGTACGCAAGGCCCACACCACTGAGCACTAGCAACAAAAGAATTGATTCAGTACACAATAAAAAGCTGAAAGCAGGAGAGACTGATTTGTTTGTGGCAGTCTGTGCTGCTGAGATGAAAAGAGGTTCTGTAGAAACGTGGGTTTTTTTAAGGACTGCTGGCTTCCTGCCTTCATATCTTGCATGCAGTTCTGATGGAAGGTCATGGAAGCAAATGTGTATTCTAGAGATAAGGAATAACTTCTCCTGTGTTATGGGTACAAGAGAGCAATTAAACTGGCAGAAGCCTTCACCTACAGTAGTGCTAATAGTTATTTAGAACACACTGAATTTAGTGCTTTGCTTATTTATTGAATAAAGTGAAATCTGAGCCTTTTGGCACAAGAAAAGCATTACACAATTAGCCTTAAAATGAAAACATAAGAAGTAAAGTTCATTCATTCTGTTCCATGAATGATGCCTCTTCTTTTAAAGGTTATTAAATGAATGAAATAAACATAAGTTTTCAAGACATTCGCATTAAATCAAAGTCAGAGATGGAACTGTAAGCAGTGAGCTCTTTGTGGCTATGACTACGCCGCTCTTTACATTGCTGCCAGACACTATCAAAGTCCCAGGCTAAAATGCCGTGTCTGCCCCTGTATGAAAGGATGTTCAGGATGTCATCAAAATATTTCCTCAGGTATATTCAACATATCTGCATCCCACAAGGTTCTGAGACAGCAAGAAAGGTATAAGAGTGTAGGTAATGAGGCATCTCTAAGTATTCAGTGTTCTCTCAATTTCAGGGTGATGGGATTCATTCCCAGTATTCTCCAGTGGTTAAGGATGTCTCTCTAGCTTTTATGTTTCACAGAATCACAGAATCACAGAATGGCCCGGGTTGGACCTCAAGGATCATGAAGCTCCAACTCCCCGCCACAGGCAGGGCCATCAACCTCCACATTTAATATTAGACCAGGCTGCCCAGGGCCGCAATCCAACCTGGCCTTGAACACCTCTAGAGATGGGGCATCCACAGCCTCTCTGGGCAGCCTGTTCCAGCACCTCACAACTCTCACAGTAGAGAACCTGAGAGTTCCCCCAGTCTTTGAAGGTAATAGAAGTACTCAATAGAAGGAAAGTAAATGCTCACATGTATGTGCAAAAATAACTGCTGATTCTGGGCCACAAATGTGTTACATATTAGCAGAGCTTCTATATGCTAAGAAAGCCAAACAATATGAAAAATATGCTGTCTGATCACCAAGATCAGCTTCATTTTTTCCTTTTCAAATTTAACTGGAATACTTGGGAGATAATCCACTGCAATGATTTAAAGAATGAATGGAACAATCCATTAGTCATCCACTTTAAATGTATGTTACAGCATCCAGTAGTCCTGTACAGCAAAAATTACTTTGACACATAAGACAACAGGGCAAGAAAGCTTCAGGGGCCAGCAACAGATTGACTTTTTTGTACTGCAAGAGATTTATTCTTTCTTTGTGAATAGCTTTGTGGTGTCTTACGATAGCTGGTATAGTTTAACCTCAGTTCCTGGAGAGATGGACAGTCTGAATGCTCAGACTTATGAACGAAGATTGTTCCCTTTTAGAGACAAGAGGTGCACAGACATAGCAAGTTATCATACACTTTGTGGGAGCTGAACGGCTATGAGATTCATAGGCAAGTAATGCGATGTGGAGACAGCGGCCTCTTTCTGAGATGAAGATATCTAATGCACTGTGCTCACACAGAGCAAGCAATCCAGCACCAAGTGGGAAGTACAAGCATTAGATTCTTTGTGGGTGCCCATATCTCACCCACAAACCAGCAGCAATCTAAAGGCAAGCGATGGCATAGGTCTTTTAAATGTTAATAGGGTGCCCTCAGGAAACAAAAGCATATCAGCAGAAGATGTATCAGCAGAATACAAAGTTGCAGTAAAAGACGTGCTAAATCTAGAAAGGCAAACTGTCCTTCAGAGAGTCTGAATACTTATGAAAATTCACGGCCATCACAAAAACTTGAAATCAGTAAAGAAAGATAAAAGCGGTATTAAGATACTGCTTCAAATCCCAGGCCCAGTGAGGTTGGTAGGAACATGACTGCTGACTTGCACAAGAACACAGTTTCACTTGATGGAAGAACCAGAGATTTCCTTAAAACATCATTCTTAAAGATGAGGGGAAAATTCAAAACTTCTTGTTCAAAAAATCAACAGCCAAATTTTTCTCAAAGAACAAACTCCACAGTCCCTGCAGTCATTATCTTTAAAAGATTATGTTTGTTTGGCATCTGTTGAAAAAAATCTGCTACCTGGAGATAGTGATATAAATCTATAGTAATAAACAAACATGGAGATCTGGGACTGGTAGTATCCCTACGTCAGTATCAACCAGGAGACATATTTTTGAAACATTTCAAAATGTTTTTGCACACATTTTAAAGCATGACTTGGAATATACAGACTTTTCAGTCAGCTGCTCTGTGTATATGCACTATATAGTTCTGCAGGAGGTGATTAATTTGTTGACAATTTATAGTATTTACTGCCTCCTGCTGCTGAGTAAACAGGTTTATAAACTAATTAATGACCTTGCAGTTATAAAAAGCTGGAACATCTGAGTATTATTGGTAAAATCAAGGGATCTGTACTTCTAGGACAGCACACACCCGTCTCGTAAAAGAAGGGTGTCAGTGTGTAGCCAGGAGTGCACTTGTCCTACTGTTATCAGACCTGGGACTGATTGCAGGTGCTTTGGGCATTGCCATAGGCAGCAGGAAGTAAGCACTGAGTGTGGAGGCATATTCAGGGATCAGCTCAAAGGGATGCTGGAAGACTTGGGCTGCTCACACTGAAGAGAAGGGGTGGAATGTTGGAAGCATTTCTCATGGCATTTGGAATATCAGTTAGCTACTTTCAGGTGGGGAGAGAAGTCAGTGGGTGCATTTATGTTAGTGATTTAATGTACAGTAGATTTTGAGTGTAATCTTCAGTACACACAGAGCTCAGTGTGTTGCTCCAAAGCACATTGTTGCATGTGAAATGGTTCCCCTGCACGTGGAACGCAGCAGCACCAACAGAGTAACCCAGTAACAGACCCCGCAGCTTCAGAAAGGTTAGTTTAAAGGAGGCTGAGATCAGATGGTTGGCTCTGTGCTTCCAGGTGTGGTTGGTCAGAAATGAAGGGTGGAGTACAGCGGTTAATCATCACAATTCATCATCATTATGAAGGATGGTTTCATGACACTCTTCGAGCTCTGCAGCCTGGCTCAGCCTTCAGCACATAGCTACAGAACAGTCATCTGAAGTCCTGCTCTGCGAATGTTCCTCCACGACTGAGCTTAGCAGCTTCAGTTCCGACATTAGGAGGCAACATCCCTCACTGCAGCAGACCCAGAGCGGAAAACATACACCTACTCTTACCACCAGATCCTGCTTCTGCACCACTGCGTGTGCATTCCTACAAGGGCAATTATAGTCGGATTGAAATGGAAACGGTGCTGCCTTTACGGTGTTCTCATCAGTGCATAGGCCAAGAGTTTGCCATTTGGGATGGACAGACGGAAGCACACAGGTCAGAAGGGGACTTTGCAGCCTCCACATGAGGCCTGCATGCAAAGGGGCAACCAGGAGGGCTGGCACATGCCCCATGCTCAGAAATGCCAGTTGGCACAACCATTCTGATAAACACCCGTGTGACAAGCACACGTTGATGTATGTCCTTAGTTTTCATGGTTCTGTATTTGAGACGGCGTATTTTCCTAAAGAAAACAACGTCTCCAGGCAATGGTAACCCTAAGGAGGGTGATGCTCAGGGCGCATATTCCAGGAGCGCTCACTGCTGAGCGTATCACAGCAACATCTCCTCAGAGCTGCCCGTCTTTCTACAAGAGGAGAGCTCAGCCAAGGGTGGGTAGGAAGGAGCAGACGGCCCACGCCAGGCGCGCAGGTGGGGTCTGGTGTATTCAGCGCCGCGACTGGAAAGCGGCGTTGGAGACGTGCGGCGCTCGATCTGAGCGGGATGCGCTGAAGCCTCGCCCTGCAGCGCCTTTCAGGGGTCCGTACTGCAGTCCAACCAGCTCCCGTCCCCGACCTCCTCCCACATCGGCCGCTGACGGGAACCGGCCGCCCCACTCCCCTGCCCCGGGTGCGTCGCGGCGCGGGGCGGGCAGGGCAGGGCAGGGCGGCTCGGGGAGCGCCGGAGACGCGGCCGTGCCGCGGCCGGGGGCGGGCGGCGCCTGGGGGTGACGGGCGGGTCTAGGCCACAGCCGAGTGCGCACGCGTCAGTTCCGGCGGGGAGCGCGGCGCGGCGCGTGGGTAGGAAACGCCGCGGCGGCGGGGGAGCGGAAAATGGCGGCGGCCGCGCAGCTCACGGATGAGGAGCTCTTCTCGGAGCTGCGGCGCTTCGGCTTCTCTCCGGGGCCGGTCACCGAGAGCACTCGGCCCGTCTACCTGAAGAAGCTGAAGAAGCTGCGCGAGGAGGAGCGGGCCGGGGCCCGCGGCGGCGCCAACAAGACCCGGAACAGCAACAACAATAACACGGCGGCCGGAGGCGGCGGCGCCGGGAGAGCGGGCGCGGGCGGGCGGCTGGCGGGCGCCGAGCACCCCTACCTCCCCGGGGCCGCCGGCGGCGGGCGGAGCCGCGCAGCACCCCCTGCCGGGGGCGGCAAAGTGCTGCTGGGCTTCAGCTCGGACGAGTCGGACGCGGAGGCCGGCCCTCGCGGCCAGGCCGGCGGCAGGAGGGAGCGGGCTTCGCCCCTCTTCCGCGGCGCGAGGCCCGGCGGCGGCACGGCGCCCCCGGAGGAGGCGGCCCGGCGGAAGCCCGGCGCCTGGTGGGGGGCGGCGGCGGCGGCCCGCAGAGCGGCTTCGGGCGCCTGGGAGCGCGGGGACGGCGGCGAGGAGGAGGGCGACGACGCGGAGGAGGAGGAGAAGGGCGAGCAGCGGCGGTGGAAGAACCGGACCGTGAACGGCAGCCGGCTGCTCGCCTGCGGCGGGGACAAGTACTCCGACTCGGAGGAAGAGGAGGCGGCGGCCCGGCAGCAGGTACCGAGGGAGGAACCGGCGGCCCGCCGGCCCAGGCGGAGCCTCGGCAAGTCCGCTCCGTTCACAGCGAGCAAATGCGCTGCGGCCGGCGCTGGCGCGATGGAGACGGCTCGGGAGAGGGCCGGCGGGGGCTGCGGTGCCGGCGCGGCCGTCGCGACTGACGGGGCGGCGGGGGCGGCCGCTGCCGGGAGCCGAGACGGGGGCGGGAGCCGCGAGGAGACGGCGGCGACGGCGGCGGCGGCGGGGGGAAGATGCGAGAGACCGGAGCCGGGTCCCGCCGGCCCCCGGTATCGCCTCGGCCCGGCCAGGAGGGCCCCCGCGGCGCCGCCCCCGGACGCGGACGGCGGTGACGGCGCCGAGCCCCCGGGCGCCGGCAGGAAGGCCACCAACAACCACGTCCTCGGCGGGGCCGCCGGCAGCCACGGCGCCGAGCCCAGGATCTATTCCGCTACCAACAGCCTCCCCCCGGGCGGGAGCGCCTCCCTCAGACTCAACCACTCCAATCATACGGGTTCCAATCACGCCTACCTGAAAAACACCTACAAGAAGAATCTCTCCGAGCCCGAGGAGGAGCTTCTCCAACAGTTCAAAAGAGAGGAGGTATCCACCACTGGAGGCTTCAGTGCACATTACCTGTCCATGTTCCTCTTAACTGCTGCATGCTTGTTCTTTCTCATACTGGGATTCACATACCTGAGAATGAGAGGTTCTGGAGTAGCTGAGGATGTGGGAGCCAACAGTAAGTATTAGGTCAAGGGGAAGGGCAGTTAATTTCTGCAACGGGATGTACTGCTGCTAATCCATCTCTGAGTTCTCAGGCGGTCTGTGCTGCACAGTTTGGGGTCTTGCTGTTCTATCAATTTCCCATTTAGGAGCACACTGAAACAGACTGGCCTTCCTAATGTGATGTAGTGAAGCTTGCTAGACGTTTGGGGATAAACCCGTATCCTGATTATTCTCTGCTGTAATCTATTGATACCTTGTTTTCTAGCACGTTTTCTTCACAAAGCAATTTCGTGTTTTATTCAGTCTAGAAGATGTATGGTTAATAGACAATCAACGAGGTAAGGCTTTTACCCATTTCAGAGAAGATGCACGTTTGGATACCTGGGATTCTTGCAGGGTGAAAGTTCCGCTGTAGTTGTTAAGTAATTAAGCAGGTTGCCTTTGTGAATGTATGTTGAGGCTTGGGAGGATGCTAGCAGAGGTGTTTTCAACACTATGACAAACTTTGTGCAGACTTTGGACCTGTTATGTATTATTTTCTAATATGTGCTTTTCTTATATATTTAGAATGAGAATGTGATTATACATTAAATACTGTTGTGTTGGAGTTTGATTTTCACAGCATTTTTTTTTTTAATCCTATGTTACTTGGGGTATCTTTTAATACAAGGAATCAACTTTTTGGAATGGATGTAGAAACTACCATTTTCTATTTACGAAACACATGGAGATGGAAGTGTACCATTTCCACCTAAGGAGGCACTAATATCAGAATGAAAAATCATGTCATTGCTCGTTGGGAGTGATGAAAAATTGTTTGGAAAAGTAGTTTTGGGATATGAGACCATTAGAGGGTTCTTGGAGATTCATAGAATGGCCTGGGTTGAAAAGAACCACGATGATTGTCTAGTTTCAACCCCCCTGCTATGTGCAGGGCCGCCAACCACCAGACCAGACTGCCCAGAGCCACATCCAGCCTGGCTTTGAATGCCTCCAGGGATGCAGCATCCACAGCCTCCTTGGGCAACCTGTTCCTGTGACTGTATTGTCTTTGCAATCACTGAGGAGAAAAATGCGGGGTGTTTCTTTGTATGGATAGTAGGGCATGTGTATAGCCGTGTGTGTGAACACGAATACAAGCATCTTGCATGGAATGATCCTGCTGCTAGTTTGGGGTCTGCTAGAAGTTACAGGGCAGAAGTAGCAGTGAGTGTTCTGTTTATTTTTTGTTTTTCTTTTTTTTTTTTCCCTTTCAGACCTTATTCATTATTGCAGTAACTATAATAGCAGAATAGTTTTTTATTTTTCGTGCTTTTTGCAGGAGGTCTAGAGGCAAAGAATGTAGTGTTTAGAAAAGTCAATAGCGACAAAGGCTTGAGCATCTGCTGTAGTTTCTTTGACTGTCCGTGTGGCTCTTAATAACTACTGTTCAGTCCTGTTTCTGGGAAGGTGGTGAACACACGTTTGTTGTAGTGTGACTGTTGGGACCTGTTCTGTGGTTAGCTTCTGACCATACCTACATAAATGGTTTTGTGTATTGATAAGCTGTGCAGTTCCACAAACATGTTTGCTTATTTTTTCTATCCTAGTCTTAAGTTCTTAAAATCCGATTATTTTAACAGAGAAGATGGTCTTTCAGCTCCTAGGGTAAACTTCCCAACTGTGACACTCATGATTAAAACTTGCCCTGTCATGCTGATTGGTAAATCTGAATGTCTCAATTGTGCGGGCAGCAGTAATACTGAGAAAATAAATACTCTGAATTCCTTGTCTTGGAAAAAAAAACCCTTCTGTTTTAATGTGTGAACTTTCCTACAGAAATGGGGGATCACTTTTTTGAGTATATTGTTTTTAAAGTTGACAAGGATGGAGCTAGTAAGCAGGGAATGTTCTCCCTTTGCTTTGGTTTGGCTGCCCAGCCAAAGGTCTGGTGGTTCAGGGTTGCTCAGAAGTTCAATTAAACCAGTCCTTGGCCTGCTTCTGTTTGTTCTTTTATCAGAGGAACTCTAGAAAGTGGATTTTCTGAGGAAGTGTTCTGGTTTTGGCATTCACATTTTTTCTGTCCTCCTTTCTTGCAGCCCTGGTTTGAGGGATAGGGCCCGTTGAAGAAAGCAAACAGCCGTTTTTGTGGCTAGCTTCTTTGGTAGGAAGTAGAGCAGGACACAAGCTACTTTTCTTTCTTTTTTTTTCTTTTTTTTTTTTTTTAAATAATGTGGAAATGTGCAGGGAATTGCCTTGCACATGTGCTCAGCACACACTGATTGAATTCCTACTTCTCGAATGTATGTGTGTGAAGAGAACACAGTAGGTCCAGAGGATGGACAAGAAAGACAAGACAGGCCCCAAAAATGTGTCCCTACTGGGAAGGAAACCAGTTGTCTTTTGGGTGGTTCTCTAAGCTTAGCTGAGCATCATCTGAGCGAGTCCTTTAGTTCTTGAGCTTATGTATTGTTTTCTTCATAGAAATGAAGAAAACAAGCCAGAACTTGGCAGAATTGATTCATGCATTTTTATTAAAAATAATAGAATAGCTCATGAAAAAACTTTTCAGCTAGATAATTAGGTACTGGGTTTTTTTTTTGTCTTTTACTTGGCTTTAGGCAAGACTTCATTGTTTGCGAATGGTTTCATTATGAAAAATGGTATTTTCAACTACTATCACAGTTAATGTGAGAATTTAAGAAGATAGGTGTTTGCATATTTGAGCTGCTTTTTTTTCCTCTTGCAGGGTGTGGTACAAGACAAATTTCAGTTGGTTGTCTTGTTCTTTCTCTGACATTAAATTCTGTCAAAATAAGGTACTGTTTTGTGTGACACGTTGAAAAACATTGGTCACCAGCTACAGCCAGTGTTAGCACATGGGTTTGTTGGGCTGTGATGTGAGTGTAGAGGAGATGCTTGTAATGGGTGGAAGCTTGGAACAAAGTGCTAGGGTTGGATTTAGGCTAGGTAAAGTAGTATAGGTAAGAAATGGAAAATTTCAGAAGAAGGTTGTCACATTGTGCAAAATGTTGAAATACTTTCTTATTCAGAGCTATAAAGTAGCCATAAAGTACTTCAGTTTTTCTGCACATGTGGCAGGCAGTGTTCAAAGATGAATTGGGATTGGCTCATTTTTCTGTATCTAAGCTACATATGGTCACTTGAGGTAAAGTTTTTCAGCATTTAGTTGTCTAAGGTGCTGATAAATGTATTATCTGTAGGGCTTTTCTTGAGCTATTGAAATAAATGGTTCTAAGCTCACATAAAAGGTAATGTGTAAGTAGATTGTGCTCTTGCTATTTCTGACAGTCTTGTACATGAACAGGTTTACTTGTGCTTCATACTGGTATCTTAATTCACGTGGCTCTTGCTGTAAGCATGTCTTGCTTGCACTTGCCTTTAAATGTGATGGGATCGTATGAAATCTTGCATAATAATTTGTCAGGAAAACGGTCAATTTGACTTCTGTCTTCTTTCTAGAGGTGTTTAAATTCTAGTGAGTTCTTCATTTCTTCCTATTTCATTCACTCAAGTTTGTGATGTTACTTGGAGCTTCTCGAGTGGCTGTTGGCGCTTCTGGGAGCTAGTTACAAAGTTATTTTTCAAGGAAAATGGCTGCTAAGATCAGTGGGTGTTACTTTGAGGCCTGGTATATTTTCTGGAAGGTGAAGTTACTACAATGGGTGCTGATTAAGGCAATAGTATCAAAGGTATGGCATTTTATGTTACTTTCAAGCCCTCTGCTCCAATACTTTGCATCGGGAGTGGTTGATGTAACAGAAAAAAAGATAATCTTCCATTTGAAACATTCAGATAGTTATTCTGTATTGTCTGAGGTTCTTAGAGGAGAGGCTGAAAGTGGGAGGTCTCATTAGTGATCTTGATCTTTCCATGTAAATTGTTGAAAAAAATAACTGCTGGTAGCACAATCTTTAGTCTATTCACTCTAACTTGCATTTTTGAAATATTAATTTAGGGAAACCTCTAGTAGTTGCCTGTTGCAAGTGGGAACTTAAGAAAATCATAATTTGAAGAGTTTAATTCTGTTCCACTGACATTCCATTTCTTTTCTTTTTTTTTCTTTCTTTCTTTTTTTTTTTACTTCTGAATATCTCATGTATTGAAACTTCCATGGAATTTTGTGCAGGGAATTTCACTGATTAAAAAGCTAGAGTTGCTGTGTGAAAGACAAGAGGTGGACTATTAAGTGCACAGGTTTGTAGATTACTGCTAAAGTGTTGTGGCGTTTCACAAATAACTGTTGAAACTTGGCTTGCCTTCATAATACCTGTATTTTAAGGAGATGTTCAGTACTTCCTTTGGAATATGTAGAACTAACTTGGGATGCATGCCTTAAAAGTACTGTTGTTTGCAGACATGCACAAGACTTTCCTTATGCCATGGTTTCGGACGTTCTTTAAATGTATTTACAACTCACTGTCACAGGCTGTGTTTTTTTGTAGAGTGATGAGAAATTAGAACTGAAACTACCCGCTTGGGGAGTGGGCATGCAGAAGAGCTCTAACAGGATCTGATTGCACAAGCTGTCAGTAACTCATTGAAAGTTTGCATTCAATCTCATAGCACGTGGTAGTTTTCACAAAAGAATATTTGGTTTCTGGTGTGAGAACTGAGGGCAGTTGATGATCTGAAAGATCTGCAACTTTTCCATGTTTATGGAGCATGGCAGACTGAACAGAAGTGGGAAAGCAAACAGCAAGCTCGTGTTTCTTCTGTTACAGCAACAGTGGTTACAGCTGAAGTCTGTTAAGGAGGAGCCCATGTTACCCAAGAACATGCATTTAGTGTAGCGTTGTAGGAACCCCACTTTGTAGTGTTTCTTAAAGTATACCACCAGGAGAGGAGAATCATACCTGCAGTCTTTCTGTTGATGGGGTCTGCTGATGTTTCTAAAAAGAATCATGTACACTTAACACATGTTGACGTGTATTTCATGTGGGAGTACTAGGTTGCAAAACTTTGGCTTAATGCTTACTCAGCTAAGCTGTCAGGAGTGCTGGGGTTGTACCA